GATTTGCTATACATGGTGCAATAGATGGATACAGCAGGCGAATTCTGTGGCTGCATGTGGGGCAATCGAATAACGACCCTCGAATAATCGCGCAGTATTTTGTAGATTACATTAGAGGCATAGGTGGTACAGCTCGTAGGATTCGTGCCGATTGCGGAACAGAAAACACCCATGTGGCACAAATATAACGTTTTCTACGAAGAAATGATGTTGACAGCTTTGCGAAAGAGAAAAATTTCATTTATGGAAAATCAGTGGCCAACCAAAGAATAGAAGCGTGGTGGTCTATTCAACGACGTTGGGGAATTAACTGGTGGATTAACTACTTTTAATTTAGTTAAAGACCTTCGCGATAGAGGTAATTTTCCGGTTAATTTAGCTACTACAAAACTGTTCAAATCCAAAGGGTTTTAACTTGTCGTATCCGTCGATATGCCACATATCATTTGGACCTCTTACAGTGAACACACGGCGTCTAAATCTTCTCATCGAACGTTGGCTCACTCCTTCAGGGTCTAGGGCATGCAGCTATCGTTTTTCGCACAGTCTCTCTTGATGCAACAAGCTTATGCTTTGTGAGCAATCTCTGATGCATATGCCTGTATCCAACCCACCACCACTTCCATCTAGTTCTCTTTCTACTGCATCAACAACTTCACGAATATTTTTTTCTTCTGTAACATCTCATTGAAGATAATCGATCCTTTTATAAGATGATGCAAGGATATTCGTATGCTATGATTAGTATGATAGGCGCGCTAAGGAACGCTATTATTTCTTTGTATGAAAATCCAAGCTCAAAGTAGCGTACAATTAAGCTATCGCGGTCTGGACTGCCTGTCATCAAGACAGGAAGATCAAAGGAAACCATACAAGTACATAATCGGGAAAGCAAGCACAAACCATATCAATATCCGAAGAATCAACTTGTCGCGATCGAGGTCGCGATCGGCCATTGTGTTTGAAAGAATGGAGAAATGCATGTGATTTTTGATGATCTCTGTCAGAATTTTGAGTTGGGCCTCAGTACAAGTCGGTATTCCGTGTTATAAGTCAGAATTCTGCGTTATAAGTCAAAATTCTGTGTTATAAGTCAGAATTCCGAGTTATAAGTCAAAATTCCGTGTTATAAGTCAAAATTCCGTGTTATAAGTCAAAATTCCGCGTTTTAAGTCAGAATTCCGTGTTATAAGTCAGAATTCCGAGTTATAAGTCAGAATTCCGAGTTATAAGTCAAAATTCCGTGTTATAACTATAAGTTAGAATTCTGAGTTATAAGTCAGAATTCTGAGTTATATAGTCAAAATTCCGTGTTATAAGTAAGAATTCTGAGTTATATAGTCACAATTCCGTGTTATAAGTCAGAATTCTGAGTTATATAGTCAAAATTCCGAGTTATAAGTCAGAATTCTGAGTTATATAGTCAGAATTCCATGTTATAAGTCAGAATTCTGTGTTATAAGTCAGAATTCTGAGTTGTAGGTCAATTAAAGGAAAAGTTTCAGTTTAAATTGAATTTGAACAATACGACATCTTATTTATAAATATAAAATGAACAGTCAATTTTTTTGGGGGGTGAACAAATTTTAAAAAATATACCGTGTCATGGCATGGCCCTTCAGAGCCACGGTAATTTTATAATAGTGATAATGGACATAATACGCGATAATAGTTTATATGATCGATCTCACTCGATTGCACAAGAGTAGAAACTTCGGAGGCCTTTCGGAGATCGTCGGACGTACTCATCACTCAAATTTGTAAGTAGTTTTTAACTGCCAGGCAGAGAAGAGAACTTAAAGCGTAGTACTGTACCATGCATTAAACATAATCTTAAAGCTATTATATTTTTATTAGAGTCTCGTTATCCGTGAAATGTGAAATTGCTTTTTTATGGCACGTGAATTGTGAAACGGTATTTTTTTGTTGTGAAACGTGAATCATACCCCCCCCCCCTTTCCCACCCTCATTAATCGATGTCGAATTTACAGAAGTGTGGGACTTTCAGTGTTAAGATTGGGGATTTTAGGGATACCATTAAGGTAATTTGTGGATAATTGAATTATTGAAGTCAAAGTTGTCAGAACTGGTTTGTATCGGTTTGTATTTTGCATGTATACTTCCGGTATTGTTAACCAAGGCAGAACCGAAACACTCAACAGAAAAAAATTAAGGGAAACTGAATTTTTCTTTCAATATAGAGTATTGCTAATTTAGAATTTTTTTGTGCTCGATATTTTTTTTTGCTGGTGTTAGTGATGTTCGATTTTTTTTTCTTCCATTCGAGACATGCTCGATATTTTTTTTCGGATTTGCGCCCCCCCCCCATGAAAAATCAAATGGTCCGTCCCTAATGCATAATATATAAGTTTTAGAGTATTTCGATTTATGAAATGTCGTATTTTAGCTATTATACCAGCAGCTCTAATTATTTTCTTTGCTACCTTAGCTATATATGATCTTTCCAGGTCAAACATTCGCCGTCGATGATAATACCGATGAAGGTTGTACTTTGAACTTGTTCAATATTTTTACCATTTATGTTAATTTTAATGGTTTGACTTGGTTTTTTATTTGGAGATCTGAATAAAATTATTTTTGTTTTTGTAGTATTTAGAGATAATTTATTCACATTTAACCATTCAGCAACTTTATTTGCATATATGTAAATGTTTTATGGATACAGAAGCAAGATATTGAACAGTTCAGGTGCCGTACACTTTATTTTATTAACTGCTATTTAGATAGAATACTATTGTTGTCGAATTGAAAAACTGCTATTTAGATAGAATACTATTGTTGTCGAATTGAATTTGTCCTAAAGCCCGTGCTTGATTGTGCAAGCTTGGTTTGACTTTCGAGTCCTTGCGCCATACAAACTTCTTTACGTTGATCCACATATTCTCCATCTAGCAGAGTGTGTTGTTGTTGACTGACGATTGTAGAGAGGCCTGCGAGGCAGAGATGGACTTACTTGTGTAATAGCTAAAGTCCGCATCTTGCACCAGTAACTTACTAATACCTAAACCCCCATGCAAGTATAGGTAGGGAAATGAGGCGGCGATCTTCGGTGGAAATTTCCGATCCGAATAGGCCTGTCTGGGTTAGAAGAAATTGATGCATTATGATATCTTCGATTGTCTGCAACAGAGCTGACGTGTTTGGGATCGTTCTCAGGAAATAGGTAAATTTGTGCTTGAAGCCATGTATATAGCGATGCAGCACGAGGCTGTGTTTGTGCAATTTTGCATGAAACATTAAGCTCTGAGCACCAATGAGCACCAGGTTTGGATGTTCAAAATATGCTTCTTTAAATGCATCTAATGCATCTGAACCCAATGCTGCGCCAATATGTCTTTTTCCTTCCACTGGAATATTTAAGTTTAGATCTTTAAACATGCATTGACATTGTCTTGGGATTTGCTCAACTTCTCTTTAGCATAAGCTACGATTTTCCCCAATTGACGCAATATCCATATTTCCGTCCTTCATTAATGATGGATATTGTGCCAAATCCAGAAGACTATATGCAATCCGCCAGCACCCGCAGCATAATCAGCAAGCCAAACCTGCTCGACCGTTTCTGCTTGACGTCGCAAGGTATTTATCATCAGGGTTGTTGTTATGGAATAAAAGGCCATTTCTAAGTTGTGACAGTTGTCTCCTATCTCAGAATGCAGGAAATGCTATTTCAGAGGCCCAAATTTTAAAACTTTTTCTGCCGGGGAGGCATGCTCCCAGACCCCCAGCTAACTCGTGCCTGCGGTACTCGGCTCGCACCTTCCAGTGCCTTTTTTAACTATATATCTGGGGGGGGGGCAATTGCCCCCCCAGGGAAAGAATTGCCCCCCCCCCCCCCCCC